TGTTTAATTTTAGCCAATTGAATTGAAAAGTCCAAAAAGTTGTTTCATCACTTATTAGACCATTAATTTATAGAAGCCATCTTCAAAAAAATTTGTCGTGAACTTTCGATATAGGATAAAAATTTCTTTGGTTTGACATTATTAAAATTGGTTAATATCATCAACGAATTTTTCGTAGGTAATATAAACTAACCTTCATGTACAGATTTTTCGTTGATGAAGAGGTTGAAATTTTTTTTAAAAAATCAAATTAATTACTCTTCACCTGCAGATATCCCATAGGAGAATGTTTGAATTTTTTTAATTATTAAAATTGATTAATATTAGCAACCATAATTCCGTTGACACATTTTTTAGAAAAAAAAAAAAAGTTGAATTACATCACATACGAAAATGCTATTGATAAATGATAAGCATATTAAACAACAACATTAGACACGAAGCTGTATATGGTGGGGAATATTGTGGAAATTTATGGGGGTAAATGTGGACGCCGCCGTGTATGGCAGGCCGTGGGGAATATTGTGGAAATTTCTCGGTTGTTGGTCCACCATTTGGAATTCTAATGTTGGAAACTTAAAGCTCATATGGACAGTCTTCAAAGACAACATTGCTTGCTCATTTGAATTGCCTCAGCTCGAGATGTTTGATATCGATATCGATATTGACATGACGATGACCCTAGTTGGACGCATCTATAAAAGCATTTTTAATTGAGTTGGACGCTAGTTTAGAAATATTTTTAATTGACTCCAAAGTTGGACGATAAGTTTAATCATTGAGATATTTTTTGAATTATTTATACAATGGATCTCTTCTCTTGAAAAAAAAAAAAAAAAAGGTGCATCTATACCATCATTTTTTTGAATGTTCATATTTGCTCGGTTGTAACAAAAGATAAATTTAGCCATATTAGAGCATACTCAATAAACATTCTAACTATAAGATACTCTTTATTTTAGAGTCAATGCTTCGAAATAAATTCCAATGGACTCCATCTAACTTTTTTAAAATAGAGGATGCATGTGATTTTTCAAATTTGAAAAGGCAAACTCACCCTATATTTTTATTTTATAATAATTATACTTAATAAGATACATATTTTCATACTCTATGTCTTAAATAATTCAAATTTTATTTGAATTGATTGATCATTAACATATAAAAAATGCATGTCTCTGTGTGTGTGTGAACAAATAGGTTTGATTCAGATATGTCGATCGCCGTGAGTGAAAAACTAGGTGGTTCAATGTGTGGTGGTAATCGTTGAGGATAGTGGCTGTATGTGATGGAGGTGATTACCGGCATGTGGTCATGTTATAGATGGTGTAACGATTGATATCTATTTGCTAAGATTTATTTTGATGGCGGTGTTGGTGGGATTTGGAAATGCAGTAGTATTTTGGAGCTTGATTCTATTCGTTGTGGCGGTGACAACAGTAGAAGGTGCAGACTAGAGATTTTTGGGTTGTTTTTTGCTAGGATATGTCAAATTATGGTAGTGTGTGTTACCCTACAAGTAACGTGTGTTACCTTACAAGTAACAATTTTTTTGTTAATTCAAATGAAATTGAGTAGGTTGTAGTGGTGGTTGTCATGATGGGAGATGGTGTTAGGGTTGATAGGACTAGAATAATTAGGCAACACTTGGCTTACCTTGCAAGCAATGACGTTTTATTAACACTAAGGTGCAATTATGATTTATAAAAAAAATGGATAAACAGAATCCTTAATGGCCCCCACCTGCCCTGTTCTGGGCCTTGGTGAATGGAGTAAATTGCAGGTTATGCCTTTAAGGGTATATGGTGGAAGACTACTTGTATACTTGCACTTACTCAAGGACCAAATCCATATTTCAGGATTCGAACCCTTGACGCGGCAGCCTCAAGCAAAGCTGGAGTTTTTCCACCTTCCCATTCTACCACTTGGAGATGTGCCCTCGAGGCTGCATGTGTTTAGTTAGTTAGTTNTATATATATATATATTTTTTTTTCCTTTTTGAATCAGACGACTATGCAGGTGGAGTATTTACTCATGCTTGGAGTTAAAACAAAATACAAAACATAGGAGGGGTCTCATGACCTGTCTTGAGATCAATGAAAGTACAAGGAATAAATGTTAACCTGTCTAGAAATTTGGCAGATAAAAGTAAGAGGATATGAGTTTTATCTCTCTCGCGTGAGCTCCAGTGCTCACACCTTTAAGTTCTTTAATTAATTAATCCATAAGAGGATTGAGAAATTTCGATTGCAGCCACGGCATCCAATATGCAAATCCGAAGTAATATACGGTGAAGATTATGCTTCAAAAGTCTATGCATGATTAGATCCGAGTAGGAGTACTAATTTATTGATATGGATAGGAAAGTTCCACTGACCATCACCTTAAATGGTTCCAAGAATACTAGAAATATAAAGGCTGACTAGTTTATGGTATCTGGAGCTATTCACTTCTCTATTTCCATCGATATTGAAATGAATAATTATGTCACTATCTATGCTTTAACAATTTAGCTTAAGAGAAAATATCATATATAAATTTGTATAGGTCAAATTAAATTAAGGGTAATTATATTTACATCACATTTTAATAAATATACCTCAAAAATATAATTAATCTTTATTCATTATTATACTTATATTCTTAACTTTTTTCTTCTTCGCATTTTTATTTTTAACATTTAATTGATAAGAAAATATCGTCCTTAATCATGATTATTGTTAATGTGCTTTGAAATGAAGGTGAAGTATTTAATCGTATTTTTGCATTATTATTTGTTTTTCTTATTTAAAAAAACAATGGGCATATGCATCTTTTTCCTTTATCTTAAATTAAATTTCGGAGAGAAATCATAATCAGGAACAATTTTTATTAATTTGAGAATAAGAATACGATAAAAAAAAGTCTAAGACATAAACGTGATAATGTGTAAAGGCTATAAACCTTTTATACACTTAAATTGTAGCCTAGTTATTAAAAATTGTGGAGTGAATATACTTGGCCTTTCATTAATTTAATTTAGCTTATGTTAGATATACTATGCTAGGCTTCGAGGTTGAATTGGGTCTATGCTCCTCTAAATAGCCTTAGGTCTTAGTTAGAATTTATTTGACCTTAGCTTTGGCTTTCAAACTCTCGTATGTTGAATCTATAGTTCAAGGTGACTGATAAGTGTGTTTTATGCACTTATATGTGCCATATTACTAAGCTTTTATTCGTCGAAGTCTTGAATTTTACTTAACTTGGATTAACTTTCTTTTGTTTCAGTTTTGGATCCACTCGTAAACAATTCGAAAAGAAAGAAGGATGAATTGATGATTGGATGGAAAGTTTGGGGACTAATGTGCACATGAGAAGAAGTTGAAGGGCAAAAATAGAAGTAATTAGAAGTTGAAGGACCACAAAATTGAGGAAAGAATGAAGAAGATGACTAAATTGCAAATTTTGAAAGTTATTGTAACTGAACTAGGCACCCGCCAAGTTAAATGGACCGGGCAGCCACCCAGGTTGGAAAACAAAAGAAAAAAGAAACAAAAGACATTGGTGCCTAGGCGGCAGTCGGCCCGATTTCTTATTGGGTGCCTACCCACACTAATACGCAACCTAAATTATTTTTCATTTTGAATTCTATTTCAACCAAGACTTACTTTTGGGCCATTATTTGCATGAATTTTGGAAATTTTTGGACACTTTTGATTGGAATATAAATACAAATTAACTACATAATTAGGGGTGTGGGGAATTGATTGAAAACGGAGGCAAAAGAACGCGTCAAGATTCAATTTCAAGAACTTCAAGATTGAATTTAAGAATTTTCCGGTGACGAACATCTTTTATATCTTGTACTTTATTCTTCACAGCATGTTAGGCTAAACAAATCTAATGGTAGGGTTACGATAAATTTATCGTATCATGAACTTTTAATTCTTAGTTTTCCTTCTTGACATTCAAACATACTTTCAATTATTGAACGTTTTTCATGAAATTGTCTTCTTTACAATTATGTGCACAATGATTATATGAACATTGTGGCTTGTTTTAGCTTCAAAAGATGGAAGATAAGTTGGACATAGTGTTAATCATCGTAGAGTCCGATAGGGGATAAGAATATACTCCTATACTTTACGTGATCTTTAAGTATTGATAAATCTTTAATGCATTCTCGTATATTCGCATCCGTCATAGTAATATAGTCGGATCACATGTGAAAATATGTTTAATTCTACTCGAGAGAGATTGTTAAACAATTTAGAAATATTGATCTTCATACTTGAATCGTATTGTCAAATTGTAAAGCTCGGGTTAAGAGAATTGATATAAGGGGGAATCGGGATCCAAGTACACTTTTCATCATAATATTTTTTATGAAACTTGCATTTAATTATAGTCTTA